CTGCGACTGATCCCTGGCACGCCGACAATCACTGACCGCGCGGCTGCTGCTTCTTGGCCACCTGCGCCGCTTGATCCGTTGATGATTTTCATGCCACGAACAATCCAAGACACCGCATTTCCTTTTTCCGTTTCCATGACTTTCTCCATCTCCATACTTTCATCTTCGGATGCTCGCCAACCGGTTTCACCACGCACAACGAAAAAACAGATTGCGCCTCGGGCTGATGACCGTTTTGATCGACATCAGTCATACTTTGATCAAGTCAGCTGTCCCACTTTTACTGACAGCTGAAGCGAACGTTTCACAGTGTACTTGCTTGACTCAGCTCTACTAGAGTTCTACTTCATTTGCTTGTGTCTCTTGATTGACTTAACCATGACCGCATGACACCTTTCAATTGCTGTGATTTTACACTGACCGCCACCCTGTATGCTTTACTTGACCTTTCCCTCCCTCCGCCCTTTCAGCTTGCTCAAGCCCACAACCCGTGATCCTCTTCATCAACGTTCCAGTTGACACCTTCGAAGGGCCATCATGGACGCACAATGGCAGCAATATTACTGGAACCACTATTTGCTCCAGCAGCAGCAACATCAGCAGCTTACCAACCCAGACACCACTGTTTCTCCTCCTCCTGCAACCCACCACACCTACAACCCTACTGGCACTTACGGCCCACTCACTCACACACTCCGCGCGCATCAGGCCCACCACGCTCACCCATACACGACATCACCATACACGACGCCACCGCAGCACACAACGCCACAACAGGCTCCACCGTCACAGCCGGAGTTCCCACCCCCACCCGCCACCACCACTACCCACAGCCGACCCAGTCACTCCACCGCCATCGACCTACAAACACAGCCCACCGCCGGCGCCAGCTGCCCGCGCTGGCACTGCGCCTCCTCCACCGCCACCTCACATCCCTTCTCCCACTCCGCCACCCCAAGACTCTTGGAACCAAACCGATCACCATTGGGATTCCAACACACTCCACGGCCACCAGCTCTACCGCACAATCCAACCTACCCAATGGTCTCGCAAAGCAGGGGTGGCAGGGCTTCCAACCTTTGACATCTTCCCCTGGCAATTGGCGTACCATGGTACGGCCGAATTCACAGCCCGCACTCTTAGCAACGGAAAATACACTGGTTTTATTGCCACCAGAAGTATTGCGGAGTCTGTGTTCGTTACCCACCTTCTCCAAGAGCTCCGCGAGAAACGCCTCGACTTGGACGGCATCGCCGAGACCCTCCACACCAAACAAGGAACCGACATCCCCAGGAAGACAACACAGGCCCGGGCTTTCCACGCCCCCCTGATCAACCTACTCATCCAACAACTCCAATCCCACTCACCGGCACCAGCAGAGGGCACCGCCCTACGAGCTCGTAAGAACACCACCGATGAGCTCGCCCGCGCAAAACAGAAGCTCCACAGCCTGGGCGAACCCCTCACTCCAGTGAAGAGCACCAGCCACGCCTCCGCCCCGGCAGCCCCATCACGTCCACCCACTCCACCAGCACACAAGCCACCTGTCCTTTCCGACGTCCTGCAACCTCCACACCCAGCTTTGAAGGATGACGTCCCAGACAGCACTGACATCCAACACTGGGTCACCACCTTCGACCCCACCATCCAGGAAGCAGCTAACGAAGTTTTGCGCTTGCTACAAACCAGCAAAGTCACCACCCAGCAGTTGAAAGAGGCCGCCGCGCGTTACGGTCTCCCCCTCAACCGTTATTCGTAGCTTGCAACACCTGGTGAGTGTGGGGGCAGCCATCGGCTGCTGACTCGCTGTCCTCAGCCAGCAGCAACCCAGCCACGCAACCTTACAACACCTGTTCCGCTTACACCGTGCACTTTCCATTTTGATCCACCACACTCAATACATCGACCGCGCCGAAGCCATTTTTGCCACCGGCCTTATCCACATCACCCTACTTTTTGCATATCCCTCCAACACCCATCGCTCACAACAGTGGCGCAATCGTTTTCGCCAGCTCCACATCCTACCCCACACTTACCACTACCACAACTTCCTCTCATCCAACTCAGTTTACGTCAAGCTCCACTTCAACCCTGACCCACCCCAATGCTGCTACCACCAGCATGGCCACTTCTACGTCGGCTCCACCGCTATTGGCATCCCCCACCGAGAACACAACCGCCGTGCCAAACTAAAACAACTACAGAACAACATCCCCATTTCCGCTGAGCTTTCCCTACGCTACTGGCATTCTCACAACAATATCCACCACTACACCACCATCCAACTCACATCCCATGACACCTACGACCAAGCCTGGATCCAGGAACACCACTATATAGCCAACTGGATGCCTACCCTCAACTGGCCTTTCATTTCACACCACCTCAAACTCAAAGCTCAAGGATGGCAGTTCACAAAGCACCGAGCGCATTTTTACTCCAGATTAGCCACTCACAAACGACTCTTCAGACGCCTTCGTCAACGCCAACACACCCTCACGGAACCACACCTCTATAGATACCTCTACCAAGCATCACGCTCTTACGCTCCTCCGCAACCTTACCAAACATACAGCAGCCTCCTTCGAAGCAGCCAAACAACTGCGCAGTGGCCGACACACTGATCTTGAAGTATACGCCATCCGGCGCATGGCCGCCAATCTCGAAGAACCTGGTCGCAGTCGCGCTCTCCACATCATCAATAAAGCCCTCCTCTATCGCAACCTCACACCACCCAAACCCAACATCCCATTAACAGTGCCTTTCCTGGCCCACGACGACTTCATCAAGCATTGCCAACAGTGGCTCCGTACGACTATACAACACCACAAGCACCTTGCTATCCCCCTGCACCTTCCTTCACACCGCCTCCGTGAAGCCGCACACAAAACTCTACGATCCCAACTGCACAATCACCGCACCTGGGAGGACACCCTCCATTCCCCGCCAGACCCAGCAGACCTCCCCTGCGCGTGCCACCATCTTCGAACTCTCCTGCAGGATCCTGATACACCCACCATCAATGGCCACTACATCCTCACACTTGATCAACTTCACCTCCCCACACACCTCAGCATCTTTCTCAACGCCAACATGAACAGCACCTACTATCCAACCAAAGCTCGTTACTTCCTGACTTTCCAGACAGCCTACACGAAATGGCTCAAGATGCAGGGATTACCGCCGTCCCTCGTGGAGCACTTACACCCGTTCCTCGAGCACCAATGGCGCCTTCACACTACACACCTTAAACAACAACCACGATTCACAGCACGCCTGCTTCGCCAGCTCCAAGAATACCTCGGCCAAAACACAGTGCTTCACCATGCCGATCATGAGCTTCAACAACTGCGACTGTTCTGCCCCCGCCAATACTTCACTGGCGCCTTGAACACACGGCAACCCCCTGAACTTTTCGAACCACTTCCCTACCTCACAGCCGCCAACATCCACGACCATCTCAAAGCCACAGTCCCACCCAGCTTACGCACCCGCTACAAATGGGGTTTCCGCAAGGATTTCAGTATCCCCTACGGTGTGGTCCACCTCAAAGAGAAGAAGCAGTGGCACAAAGGCCGCGCCATTATTTCCTATTTCCATTCACTCAGCGGCAACCTACTCCGCATCACCAGCCGCGCCCTCGACATTATCCTTCAACACCTTTATCCCCAACACCCTGGACAACTGTCCATTCCACAACTCTGGCACCATTTCCACAGCTACCTCACCCAAACCCCGGCAGACATCTCCCTGCACGCCACCAACGACGACCTGGTCGGCTTCTTCAACTCTGTCCCCCAACGCAGACTCATTGATGCTGTTCACTCTATGATTCACCACTGGCAACAACAGCAATCCACCCACACCATCACCGTGGACGTCCAAGCCACCGGCAACCCCTTCCACCGCTCCCACATCGGCAGACACCACCGCAAGCATCCCACACAACGCACCATCCAGACATCCGACATCACCACCGTCGTGGCCTTTGCACTCAACACCTGCATTTTCCGGGCATGCAACAACACCTACAAGCAAATCCGAGGAGCTGGGATTGGCTCCCAACTCTCTCCAGCCCTCTGCAATGTAGCCATTACACTCATCGAACACTCCTGGCACCAGATCCACAACAACCTCCTGCAACACACAAGCCTACATTTCACCTACTACCGATATGTGGACAACCGCTTCATTGTTCACAATGAACATTTCCTACACCATCCCGCCATCCAAACCCTCATCCACCACAACTTCTTCGGCGACCCAGTGGAACTCGAACCTGTGGACGACTTCCATCTCCTGGGTTTCAATATCGACCTCCAACAACGCACCATCACCTACATGCAACCTTCCCAACCCTGGAAAATCAGGGATTCCACCACCGCCGGGAGCCAGTGTCAGGCCTCCAATCCAGACTTCACACCATTCGAAAATACACATTTCCACCCTCCAGCGCTGAAGCTGCTGCCGCCGAGCTAGTGAGGCTCTATGTCCAAAAAGGACACAACCACCACGCCTGCCACCGTTTTTTGAAAAAAGCGCCGAAGCCGGCGATTTGTGTGTGTTCACCCCTGGACAAAGGGCTCTTTACCACCACCTCGTTTCCACCCAACCTCGGCAGGGGGGCAGTGATCCTTTCAGCAGTCACTGCCTAACAAAGACGCTGCTGATCGGATGTGATATTCAGAGAGGACGCTCTCTGAACGTACCTGCCGAGTTTTTCCACACGCTGTCACCCTACTCTTCCACTTTCTGATTCATGGTTCTTCATGTCTCCCCCCTAAACAGGTTTCTCTGCCACTTTCAGCAGCCGCGGTTTTTTGCAGCTTGTCGCCGCAGTCAAGGGAAACAACCTTTGTTCAAACACCTACAATTTTCTCGGACTTTTCGCCATGCTGTTCCACCGCCATCCTTCCCATCGTGGTAACTGAGTTAACTGAATACAATTGTCAGAGTGTGTCTCGCAGCACCTCCGACGAGTTGCGGCTTGATCGTGCGAGGTTGCCCCCACCTTGACAATGACAAGAACATGGCTGGCCAAGAACAGGCCAACTACTGCCCGTGCATTTACTCTCACAAGTCTTACAGCAATATTGGCACGCTATTAGGTTGGTGGAGGTCATCGCTACTAGGTTGGAGGCCATCGCTATTAGGTCAGAGTATATGGCAAGTTTTTTGCCCCACACACCTCGTTACAACACTAGGCCGGGTGAGGCCCCCACGGACTTTTCCGTTGAGGACTTTTACCTTGCTCGTTCCATCGTTCCGGGAGGGTTTTTATTGCCTTTTTTGCGCTGCGCAGGACCTCCAAAAGCTGGAAGACGCGTTGGGACTCCGCAAGGCAAAAACACAGAGTGGACTCTGTGGATACTCCGTGGACCGCTGGTGTCGAAAAAGACAAGGATATTTGAATGTATTTGGTATTCGCGTTGTGAACAAGTGGTGTTTCGCTAATCTCTCAACATTGTTTAGTCTAGGATGTCTAGGATGGACACTCACAAGCTTCTTGTGCCCAGATCCGCCTCTCGTCCGAGCACCTGAAGTGCTTTCGCCTTGCTCTTGCTTCGTTCGAAGGGACGTCTGCCCGGCAAAGTTTTAGAACTATCAAAACCTCGGGACTTGAGTGTGTTTTTTGCCCTCAGCTGATTCCAGGCATTTCTTTGGAAACTTTGCAAACAAGAAGCTTGATCCGCGGGTGCCAGATGGGGAGCATTTGTCTTGTAGCACAGAACATTGCCTTCTGCTTTTTACCGTGACTGGTGCCGCAGGGGCCGCAAGGCTTCCGGCATGTGCGGAGGCCACAAGAGCAGAGACAACTTAATTTGCAAATCCTTCGCCTGTTTTTTGGTCGCCGCAGGGTACATTGTGGCAATCCTTGGGTGGACGAACACGGCCGTGAGTGGGTGACAGTGGAGATTTGCAACACCCTCAAGATGTTGACCGCTGCTTTGACGTTTCTATCTACCATATGCTGTTCTGTGACTGGCCATGTTTCTACCTGTTATTTTCCAGGTGCGGATAGCTTCCTCACCCATCAGATTCGCAAGATGATTGCTACGGCTGCTTTGGTGAAGCTGGCTACTTTGATATGATCCTTCTCGGGCCTTGCTTCAGCTTCTTTTTTTTGACACCATTCTGAATCATTCTTGGAAGGAGGCCCACAAGTGGCTTCCAACATCCCGAAGTTGCCCATTGCTCTTCACTGGCAGGTGGCACAAGGTGCTTTATCGTTGGAATTCATCGATGCTGCGATGCATAGGCCTTTGGACATACCACTGTTGACAGCGAATAATGTTGCGTTCCGTTCCAAGTGTGCAGGCACTTGGATGTGAAAACGTTCTCAACTGAGATGTGAAAACATCAGATGCACTGCCGCTGGCATATGCCTTCGCTTCCTTTGATTCGTTGTCTCCAAACAAAGCTGAGGCAGCGCTTTCCACCGAATGGCTTGATCTTCAAGAGGCGATTTGGTTCCGATGACCGGACCAAGCCTTGAGCGGCATGAGCGAAACGGAACATGAGTCGAGGCCGTTCTTCAAGAGCAAGACAAGTACTGGACTGCCCTCTAGCGTAGAGGCAGCGGTTTTCGGAACCCAGGGCGTGCATAGTGACCCTGGCCGTGTGCGTGTGTGCTGCACTGCGTTGCTCCATTTTCTCAGAGGCATGCTCGGTGTTTCTTCAAATTGTGCGCGTGCCACCTGAGGCGAAATTGAACTCTGAGGAGGTGGCTGCTCGAATGTTTGCCATGCAGGCGTTGCTGTTCCTCTTTGGTTGTCGACATAGTGGAGGATTACACAAGCTGTGTGTTTAGCCTTTCAATGGCCTCAAGACACATCTTGCAGGAGTGGCTGCAAAAAGAAGTCATAAAGGCTGCTTCATCACTGACTCAAGCATTCTTTGCCACACGTGCACTCCAATAGTAAACCCTTCATTGACGACCTCCTTTTAGGAAGCTGAAGAAGGTCTCAGTGCAGTTTCTTGGTGGCATTAAGCTGCCCGGCCCCCTTTCTCATCGAACACTTTGACCGCTCGGGTCTTTAAGGTCTACTGGCTTGCTTGCGTAGCCCATTTTGCTGGTGCCTCAGATTGTCACTCCAACTTCTAAGATTTCTAAGTAGAACACGACCTGACAGGAACCTGAGGATATGGAGAGCGAGGTGGGGACATAACGTTTTGAGCATGAAAAAGAACAAGAAGCACAAGCCGTTTTTCCTCAAATCCCAAGTGACTTGGAAGGATGAGAACTGGCTTACTCAAATGTAGTCTTGTGGTTCCATCACTTTCTTGTGCGATTTGTCAGGTGCTTCAGCAATATAGAAGATTGATGCCGAAGAACGAGCAGCACATCAAGGCTAGACAAGCTGCAAGCACTCAGGCGGGATTTCAATAGAGCACTCACTCGGGCATCGACGTTGGATGCTGAGTATCTCCAGGTTGCTTGCATCGTTGCTAGCCAGGGTGCGGAATTATGGCACCATCCTCAGAGCCATCTCGTTCTCCCGTCGCTACACGCAAAGCTTCACCAAGGCTTGGCCGACATCGGCGTGCAAAGTAAAAGAGCCCGTTGCATTGCGACATCAGCGACCTAGTAGCGTCCGATCGCTCCTAGTAGCGTGTTGCAGATCACACACCCTTCTTCATCCTTCTTCATATGGCCCATCCATGCCTTTTGCTGTTTTGGTACTGCCAAGGCCCAAGGGAGCCTGTGGGACCACCACCTGGATGGTCAAGAGTTGGCTCCTCAAACCACTGGACTGCACGTGAGGCTCCAGTGACCCATTGACCTGAGGCTCCTGATGCCCAGACTGCCAAGCCCAGGACAAGTGTTGTCTGGAGAATGCACTGTGCATGGAATTATGTTTGAGCAGATGTGAGGCCTAGATTGGCAAGACGATTCATCAATGACATGGACTGTTCCAACAGTTCTTGATTCGTGGTGAGGATACCTCCTGCAGCCACGAAACAGACAATAGGTGCACTTGGTAGTCTTGCAGCGCTGGCATTACTTTTCTCGTATTGAATAGCATGCAAACCACTCCCTTTGCAAACTTATTGGCCAAGTTAGGCTTGAATTTGACTTGTTAGATAGCGGACCGTTTACCCTCTGCCCTTCACAAGAGACGCCCGGTTTGCATCCTCCTCCTCCTCTTCTCCTCCTCCTCCTTCTCCTCCTCCTCAAGCGCTGACACATACTCGTACGAGATGGGATTCTTTGCAGCACGATCAGGCTGGGTTAGGAGAAGGCATCAGTTGACTTTCCTTTGCCACAACACCTTCCTTCAACGACCTCAATCTCAGTCTTTGGTGGCTTTACCACCTTTCGGTTTGGAGAGCAATCGCCCCACTTCCTCGGGTAGAAGAGTGTGTTGGCACTTGAGCCAGATTCGTCCAACATGGGCACATGTCAGTCTGGCTTCACTTGGTGTCTAGTGTGCGACGAGTGGGCCAGACAAAGCTGTATCCTCCTCGATCAAGGCATTTCACACCAACAGATAAACCTGAAGGAGTCCTTTTGTCTCCTGCGTACCACTCCGTTTTGTGTGTGGAATTCAAGTACTTGTCCTTTCCCGAGCGTCGGCTCTTCTGTCAGAAGTCTTCATGGAAGGACACCTGCCTTCAAAGCGACATTCACTTAGGCCTGCCTCATCCAGATTCCCAAGTTACACTTCATTCTTCGCACGATCATAGGTGACCATATCTTACGAGGACACTCACTCCCACAAGTCAACTCTTGAGGTATTTGCTTCATGCCTGTGATCACTGCTCCCCACCATTTCGCTAGCCTTTGGGGTCACAGAATTGTATGCAGTTGTCCTGCCTCTTCAAGCATTTTGGAAGTCATCAACATGAGAAGGCCTGTTCCAACATGATTCTGGCCACCCTGTTTCTTCTGACTATCCTCACATTCCCATTACAGACTTGGGAGGGAACACACTGAGCAAACTCGGTTGGTTTCTGGTGTCCACACTTGGCTTGAGGGCCATGAGCAGTTCAACGCCAGCTCTGGCTGATCGGCAGCTTGCTGTGATCCATTACTTCCTTTCTCTATGTGACTGCTACTAGTAGCTTCTTGTTACTAGTGGTAATGCCCTTGTTACTAGTAGCGATGCACTTGATACTAGTAGCTTATGTGCTTCCTGCTCGTGCTCCAGTGTATGATTACAGACATTTTTCTCGTGCAAGAGCTCCATTGCTGTCCAATCGGAAACCTCGCCGAATAAACTCTACTCTCTGACAACCTTGGTCTTGGACTGATTGAGGGCTTCTGAGTGGGAGTCGAGTGGTGAAGAATGGATCCCATCAAAGGGGCCCAAGTCCACCAAGTCCATTTCTTCCCTCGACCCGGGCCTTCTAAGAGAATGATGTCTCAGTGAGTGGAGCAAACGTATGGCTTTGATTGATCGAACAAACACACAGATAAGTGCATGAAACACCACGAGTCGAAACAATATTTGCGAGTCGAAAGTCAATCTCTTCCTCTAAACTGGACTCAACTAGGCCAAACATCCAAGAACCTTTTGATCTCTGGTCTCTGCCACTCCCCCATTCTCCAAACACACCTACCCTTCGCCCCGGACTTTCCACGTGTTACAGTATGGGCTGTGAATGTCAGGTGCTCTGACTTGCTTAATAGAACAGGGTGGTTTTGCAAGCATGGTTCTCCGCACGGCCCAAAGTGCTTTGTCTCAAACAATTGCCTAAGGCCTGTCACAAGCCCACAGTGAAATCAAACTAGGGAGAATCCATCCATGCTATTCGACACAACCAACATCGGCGGCAGACCTATGTGGACAGCACAAGTCACCCACACTTCTAGACAATTTGGCTACTGTTTGCACTCGGGTAGCATTCTTCATTCAGTCTCTATATATATATATATAGTTGCATTTCATAGAGCTGATGCCGACTCATGCTGAAGTCATCGCACAAAATCCACTGGAAGCTCCAGCGGACTTTTGGACCAATGTTTCCTGGCAGCATCAATTCCTTGCTTGGATGAGCCTCATTTCATGTTTGATGTGGCTGCTCAGCTGGTGACTCAGGTTTACTATGTCACTCCGGCTGCATTTTGCCGCACTTTTCGTTTGGCTGTGGTGTCGTGAGTGTCATGTCGAAGATTGGCCGTCGAGGATGGCAGCCAAGGTGGCCAATGGTCTTTCGGCATTTCTGGTAGTATCTGTCTTGCTGGGAAGCTTTGTTCTGTGCTGCTTGCAGTGCATTGTGCGCGTGGAGCAGTGGGAAGAGAATCTTGTTCATGTTATTGTAGACATTTGTAGACTGCCTTTGCAAGCGCAGAGATTTCTTGATTATTCCTGGAATCATTCATTCTTGGCAGTAAGACTATTCCTGTGTTTGCGAATCAACACATGCCCTTTCTTGTCTGCCTGGTAGCTTTGCCACGTGTGACATATGAATGGGCAGAAGTTCATCTTAGGCTGCGCAAGTTAAGTTTGAAGTGCGTAGAACCATGTGCACTGAGGAAAAGGCGGAATGCCTCGCACTCTGGAAAGGACGATTGATGCATCTCGAAGGAAGTCCAATCTACGAAAGGAGTGACAACGAAGCCGATCAAACCGTCCTGAAGCTGGAGCACATCTGAAACCCACCCAGATCTCCCTGTTGCATTCAGCCGGCGGGGAAAAAGATGCCCTCCGACCTGTCACACATACGCATAGGCGTACACACCGTAAATCAAAGAAACATGTGATGCAAGCTCTTTGTGCCCTTTTGTTTGAGGTGCTCGGATGACCTCCACAGTGATCAGGGTCAAGCCAGAGTCTTGAGGTAGACAGCATTGGAGAGTCCATATCGGACCGGACTTGGACTGCGCCGAGTGAGTGTGGCTGAGGTCTGTGGCTTTGAAACCGAGACCTCCCGCCGGAAGGCCCACAGTGCCTACAGCTTCACAGTCAGCAAAGGCAGCTTCGAAACCAGCATCACAAGCAGCTTCGAAACCAGCTTCAAAGCCTGAGCTGCCACCACGTCGAAGCTTGCAACCAACACCAAAGGCCTCACAGTCAAGAGCTTAGAACGAGGATTTTCTTGGAACTTGGAGCTTCGTCTTTCGTCTGTGTTCTTTGTCTTCTTTCTGTGCCGAGCGTGGAGACTTTGTTTCGGTTTCCCTTGACTCAGGCCGGAACGGAAAGCACCAGTGAAAGGGGGTCCAAGGCCGCCAGAAAGGCAAAGCCGAACTCCGGTGCTGAAAGGCAAAGCCTTCAGCAAGGGAAGAGATGGCAGGAAGGGTGAAGAAAGAAAGCAAGACATGTCCGATGTGGCTGATAAGCAGGAGAGGGAATCGGACAAAGGGAAAGGAGCGAAAGGAACCAAAAGCACAAAAGGAGCGGAGAATGCACGAGGCATAGGAGTAGATGGGAAGGATGGAAAGCAAGGAAGGGGTGGAAAGGATGGAAAGAAGGGAAAGGTGGGGAAAGAGACAAAGGAGGGAAAGGGTGGAAACGGCAGGATGGAGGGACAAGGGCGGCAAGGGAGCAAAGAGACATCGGATCGACTTCAAGAAATGCAAAAGGGCAAGGGAGGTAAGGACCTTATGGAGAAGGGAAAGAGCCACAAGGGAAGAGGAAAACAGCGGCAGGAGCGCCCGGAAAAGGCTGCAACTGGCCCAAAAGGGGGTCCAAAAGGCAAAAAAGAGAGTTCTCATGAAGAGCCTGAAGGCGACTTTGGTGGCGCTCCAAGCTGGAGATTTACATCCAATTCAACTTTGTTTCCCTCAACTTATGGACACTTGTGACACTTGCAGCCAAGGCTATGTTGGCGACGTGTGGAAGTTGCTGTAAATCTACTGAGGGCAAATCGTGCGAAATCACCTCAGAGCTCTGCCAGTCGCCAAAAGAGTTGCATTGCATTCATGTTTCCCAAGGTTTTTATGGCATGACTCAACGACAGCGCGCATCATTTTTAGCGCGCGCTTTGTTTTGCATGGTCTGACTTTGTCAGAGGCAGTGATTGGCTCAGACACATCACTAGACAGGAAGGGGTAGTTGCTTGGTCCGCTCCTGCTTTTCTGCCACTTTCTCAGCTGGGTTTATTGTGTCGTGGTTCCCTAGGCTTGGCGAATAATTCTAAAAATTCCGGCACTGATTCTGGAAGTGCTAGGGGACAATTGCTCTCCACTTAGATAGCATACACAGAAAGCAGTGGCGAATCTTTAAGATACGTTTAGTCGAATACGCATGAACCTGTATGAAAAACATAATTCGCAGTGTTTTGTGAGCGACCAAGCCAAGGACAGGCCACGGAGATTTTGGCGGAAGATGATGAAGCTCTATGCACATCCTGATGACTACAAGACCAAAAAGGCTGAGCTTGTTAAGCGGCTGCCGGACTGCATTGTACTTGTGCTGTCAGACATTGAGACAGGCCTTGATCGCCGCGCAGTATGTGGGTTTGGAGGTGCATCCATGTTTGGACGTTGGGGCTCCAGATTGAATAATGCATCGCCATATCTAAAAATCACCGAAACTCGACTGGTCGAGCAAATCTTGCGCTCTCAGTGCTATCAGCGCTCTGTCAAACCTGGAAAGGTGGCCTGTCCGAAGAACGCTGGTGAAGCTGCCACTGGAAGGGTCGCCGTGTTTGCAAAAGTGTCAATGGCTTCACTTCTGGTTCCAACCAGTTATTATATATATATATATTATATTACATATTATACAATATGCATTATATATAATTCCATATATGTATATATATATACACATATATTTTGAGTTTTCAACTTGTTACTCCCTCACAGACCTATTCTCTTGACTTTAGCTCTCTCAGGTTCCCGTTTTGGAGACTCCCAAGGGCTGCATCTTTGCGAGTGGTGCAATTGCCAGGTGAAAAGCTCAAAGACTTGAACATTGTCCTTTGTATGATGCTTTACTTTAACCAGTTCGCCACAGTGTACAAGGTATATCTCAAGAATCAGTCGACCAGTTGGCCTCTATGGTCAAAATCTCATCGAGGTTCCTTTCTCTTTCGTTATGCCATAACTGTTCTGGTTGGTCTGAAGTTTTAAGCTTAGCATCAGACCATTCAGGGCGGCATGATCGATTCCTGGGTGGAGTTCTGCACACATGAGCTGGAGGACTGGAGTGGGATGAAGGACATGCGCAGTTTCGGCAAACCTAAGAGTGATGGCATCCATCCTAATAGCATAAGGAACCTAACAGAAATGGCCTCCAACCTACTAGCGATGGCCTCCAACCTACGGGTCTGAAGCGTGGGCCGAGGTACCTCTTTGCACTTGGGTGCTGCCAGTGATGCCGCCAGTGTTCAAGATGAGCTGAAAGCAAGTTCTGCCAACTATGACTGACACATGATTGTTTTGGACTCTTCGTTCGGGCATAAACAGGTGATGGGAGTGTACAAAGAGATCCCTGAAGCCACTGCTTGCTGGTTGCCTAGAGACCTTTCAACATCAAACATACGGAAAATGAAACTACTGTAGATGAGACGCGGCAACGAGACGTGGCAACGAGGCGCAAAGGAAGACGTGAAGCCTTGACCTCAGACTTCGGGAAATGATAACACAGGGCTTGTGAGGCGCACTGAAGAGTTCGGAACGAGACCCGAGATATCTAGACATACTCTTGGAAGAATTTGTGAGCCTCACAATGACACTCTCAATAAAGTCTTTATAACCTCTAAAGTCTTAGAGTCTCAGAGACTGCTGAAGAGACAGAGCTTCAGAGAAGATGTCGGATAGAGTCCGAGACCAGAACTGAAGATGATGACCATTCATTTCAGGCGATCGTTGACAGTTCTGGACAAGCACCTCCTCCAAAACACCTTCATGGCCGTGTCCTTTGTAGAAATTGCGTTAGCGGACCTGCAGGTCCAGACAACTTACAAATTGCAAAGGCTTTTGCGAATTCACACTATCTGTGAGGCCGATGGAGTATTTTGTACATTGCATATCGTTTTTAGTGGCCCCCAAGCAATGTCTACCTTTTTGTGGGCAAGACTTAAAGAATCAAAACGGGGTACAGCAGGTCCAGACAATGGATAATATCCCTCACCGTGAATGAACTGGCATTTTGGATAGGGTACCACTTCAGAAGCCTCCCTTGTTCACTCGCATGTAATCCACACATTCATGGTCAAAGATCTACGAGTCCAACCTGTCCAACCTAAATCAAGGGTTCTTGACCCCTCTCGTTGTGCCAACCAGAGATGCATAACTTTGAAAAGACAAGATGCAAGGATCTTTCCTTCGAAGTTTCTGATTTTAGAGCCTCGGTCCTGGCAAGCATAGACGTGCCTTGTGGAGTAACGTGAAACCTCACTTGTGTGCTTTGACTGAGTTGAATTCTGCTGCCACTCCCCGCTGCTATTTAGAATTTTAGCTCCTCTGGGTGGAGCCGATGTAGATTGAGTCGTGGAAACACTGCTCAGTGCTCTAGTCTAATTCAGCAGCTTGGTCTTTCGATCGGTCCGCCCGAACCCTGGAATTTTAGTTTCAAGACAGATGCTCTGGTGGTTTCGAAGCCTTTTTTGGCCTCAAATGAAGCGGAGGTGCATTTTGGAGACCTTTCAGGACTGTCAGACCATCTCGCTTGTCTTGGGTTTGGATACCTCTAAAACCGTTTGCAGTGAAAAGCAACCTCAGGCCATGGCCAACATACCTTTCCAAGACCAGACGTCGCCCTTGATCACGGCACCTCCACGTTTTGTATTGTATGGGCCCTATGCAAGAGCTCTTTTTTCCAATAAGAAGTCTTTGACCTTGCCACACTCTATATGTCGAATGTCTTGCTCATGTCACGACATGCCAGCTTTGATTCCTCCAGTGTGGCCAGGGACCTCGCTCGGTCCCCGTTGTTTAAGGCTGGCTGATCCAAATGTCGTTGGCAACATTCTCATCGGATGCACCGCAACTTGGATAGAACCAGGAAGCGCTTCCTACAGATGAGCAGATGGCTTCCTACATCCCAGGACAACTTTGAGCAGATCAGTGGTTGGAGCAGGCCACTGTTTCCAATTCACTAGGTACAGCAAAAGGTCACTAGGTACAGCAAATGCAGGCAGGAGGTCCTCGGGATGCCGTGTGACTTCCTACTGGAGGTGCAGCACTTAGAACCCAGGTCCGCTCCCCGGTCTCGAAAGCGACTCGTTCAGGGCTGCGGGAACTTGGTGTCCCAAATTCAAGCGCTGAAGTCCTCCATGCTCCAAGCCGATGAGTTTGTGATGTCCTCAGACTCCACGACGATCTCAGACCCGTGCTGTTCTTGTTACTAGTGCAGATTCGCGATGCATTCATGTCCCACAGGTCCATAGGATCTTTTGAACGTTTGCACTGAGCCCGCATTACCGCAGGGCCCTTGAGTCGCTCGAAAAAGACCGCATGTGCAACTGCGGCACTATGGCCCCCCGGCCCGGGTTGTGAATCCCCGCTCTTGCATTGGTAGCGGAGCGAGCCGATCCGCGTGGCTCGCTCCCGCATGCCCATGGCGGCTGACGTCTTTGGCGCGCCGCTTCGCTCTTCGGTCGCCGCTGGCGGCACCCTACCTCCTGCTGAAGGTGACCTACCAGAACTGGCAGCGGCACCGGCGGCAGCGGACTACAACATGGACTACCACGACAGCGACGTCCTGGTGGAAGATGGCTTCAACTACGACTTCGACGAAGAGGACGAGTTGGTGCAGCTCTATGCCACCGGACCCCGTGGTGGACGCAGACTGGGTCGCAATGGCCCTAGGACGGAAGAGGTGACCACCTCCTGGCGATGCAGGACGCCGGAATCCGACTTCCCCGGCATCCGACGGACGCAAGAGTCCGGCTTCGCACCACTCCGTCGCTGAGAAGAGTCCCGCTTCACCCTCATCGAGGACTTCGGCATCAGAGGACGCCGCAGGACGGCATCGACCTCGTGGAAACTTGCCACAAGCACCCAGCTTCGATGGCAACATCAAGAAGAACCCCAAGGCCTTCAAGCAGTGGCTGCAGAAGATCGATAGCTACATCGAGATCGCCAAGCACATCATCGGGCCCGAGGAGATCGGACTTCGATTGCATGCTGCCTTGGAGGGCGATGCAGCCGCCTACCTGGAAGGCATCCCGGCCAAGACCTTTGGCGTGACCGACGGCTGGAAGGTTCTCGTGCAGGTGCTCAAGGACAAGTTCGCCGAGAAGCGGATGCACCTCAGGAGGTGCCATGAAGTCCTTCTTCCAGCTCCAGGTGGACCGCAACTCCACGCTCACCGAGGTTGCGGACCAGATGGATCGAGCAGCGCGGCTTTGCGCTGAGTCAGATCTCACCCTGCCGGATGAGATCATGGTGTACTTCTTCTTCGAGCACTCTGGTTGCTCGTTTGAGAGAAGGGCGAACATCCTCCTGAGGACAGGGGGCGAATACAACTGGAAGAAGGTGAAGCAGGCGGTGGAACTCCTCTACCCACAGACGATGGTTTCCGCTCCTCGCCGGAACTTCGACCACTCGAAGGGTGCGGGCAAGCGGCAAGCACACGAAGCTCAGGGACAAGGAGATGACGCCCAATACGCAACCTCCTCAACCGACCTCGCATCGATGGACTTGGAGGATTGGTTGTACTATGAGGACCCCATCGAGCGCCTTGCCGACTATGACACCCCGGAATGGATGCCTGAAGGACTTGCCCGAGAACTTCATGAAGTCTTTGCCACTCACCGTGAGAACCGTGCCAAACTGGCCAAAGCAGTGAAGGCTCGTGGCTTCTACACGGGCAAGGGCAAGGGCAAGAAAGGATCAGGCGGCAAGGGCAAAGGCAAGGGACGTGACTCATCCTCCGGCTCCGGAGGTAAGAGTTCTGGCTAGAAGGGCAAGGGCTCTGGTGGCTCTGGCCATGCCCGCGGCATGTCGCTCGACGAGCTCAAGAAGAAGACCACATGTGGCGACTGTGGCCAGTTGGGTCACTGGCGTGGCGACCCTGCCTGCCGCGGACCGAACAAGGCCAATGAGACCGTCACCATCGACCTTGCCGACGATGAGAACCCAGAGAACGATGACCTCTACTACGACGATGTTTGGATGGAATGGCAGGATTGGGAGCAAGATGCCAATGAGGCCTGGACTACACACAGTGGCGCAGCAGACCAAAGCAGCGCCGCCTATGCGGCCCAGGCCAAGAAGGAGCAGAAGTCCGAGCACTACCCCGAGCTCACCAAGCCAGAGGCCGAGGAAGTCATCCATGGAGTGAACCGCATTAAGAAGAAGTTCCACTCCAAGGACTCGCCGACCGAGACGGTGACACCTCCTTCGAAGAAGCCAATGGATGTCTTCACTGCCTCAGCTCTCATCCAACATCGGGTTGAGGCCAAGAAGGAAAAGGAGAAAGCTTCAGCTCACACGGCCACAGCTCCAGAAGCCGTGCGAGAGGCATTCGACGTCTTAGGCATCAAGCCCCCCGACACCAAGGACTCCGTCTGGGGCGTGCTCAACCAGGAAGCCGAGGCCACCTTTGACCTCGACGGATGCGTGTGGTCATGGCGGTCACACGCCAAGGACCAAGTTTGCAGGAACTCCAACGACCTCACCTTGGCCACGACGATCATGGACAACTCCTTGGAGTACCCCGCAGCGTGCTGGCGAACACTCGGCTCGCCCCGAGTGTGCGGGATGGCATGGCGTATCTAACCATCGATACTGCTTGTGAGAACACCGTTGGAGGCCGTGGACATCTGGACTATGCCATGGAGATCCTCCGGAAGAAGCACAACGTCAAGGCCCTCATCACGCCTGAAGAGGAGTCATACAGGTTTGGCCCTGGCGAAGCACGGATCTCCCACCAGAGGTTCCACATTCCCATCGGGATCGGCGGAGTGGCCATGATCATCAAGACCTCCAGCCTGGAGGACCGACACCCCGAGCAGAACCGCATCCCCTGGTTGGCTGGCCAAGATTGGCTTCGCTTTATGGAAGCAGTGGTGGACGTTGCCGGCCAGAAGCTGATCCTGAAGGCAGTTGGCGCTCAGGCCGACCTTTTCATTGACGTCGCAGGCCACCTTGTGGTAGCCGTGGACGATTTCCCTCCTGACGGATGGCCTCAAGCCCTTTGGATGTCAGGAAAAGCCTATACGGCGACCGCTGTCCGGCCTGAGCAGTGCACCCACATCTACAATCCTGAGGATGACCCCATGAACTCTACGGGAGCTACATCAAGGACACCCTGTTTGGTCCCTGGTGATGTTTGGGAGTACTCTTTGGAGCATCCACTTCTATATGTACGACATCATCGCACTCCCAGGACAACCAGATTTCATCCTCAGGAAGTCGTAGATGGCCCTGATCCCAAAGAACTTCAACCACTTCGGGTCACCTACAAAGATGGTTTTGGGGAACCCTCAATCGATGTATGGGATGATCATGTTCATGAAGAGCCTTGGACCGGCATCACCATCCTCGTCGGCTTTGGTTGCGACCCCTCCGTGTCGTTCGACTCCGTTCGTGCACCAGCCGATCACATTGGGGTCGAGGCGAACATCGAAGGCCCATGTTTGAAGGTCCACCCAAAGTCACTCAAGGCCCATGTTCAGAAGAGGTTCCAAAGGTCAATGGACACTTCAGTCAAGCCTCCGGACCTGCCTCTCAATCGACATGATCAAGTGTTTCAGCCATCCATCAATGAGTTCCCGAATCGAAGCAATTCGGATTCAAGCAGCCCGCAAGCTCGCCATGCCCACCGAGAAGAAGGAGAGATCCCTTCGGCGATGGCGGCAGCTCGTGGACCAGCTCATGAAGGCGCTGGCGGCAATGGTGCATTGGGTCAATACCACCAAAGTGGTTCGAGAGCTCAAGTACCGCTCACCAGCCCTCATGGCCTACATGGAGGCGATCTTGCAGAAGGAGACCATCCAGGCACAGGACCTCCCACCGGCACTTCCGCCGGCATCGACACGCGCCAAGGGCCAGACACCACTTCCACTGGCGATGGCCTACGAGATGGAGCCGAAGAACTGCCCTCATCTAGTCGAACATGGCCGCAGGTATGGCAACGCGCATGGCAAGTTCTTGGAATGCATAACCTGCAGCAGCGTGTGGAAGGGTCTGGACTATCAGGTGCCGATCACCGCGGAGACGGTCACAACGTACAAGGTGTACGTGGGCATCAGAGATCGTCCAGGCGGGAAGGTCATCAAGGGAGCAACAGCTCGCAAGGTCTCTTCTACAAAATCCTCTGCATACTCCTCTTCCTCATATCCAACATCTATGGAAGCAGCCTACGGGACTACACCGGCTCCGACTCCATCGACGACCTATCGCAACAAGGCCGACAAGAAGCCGGTCGTCAAGAAGAAGGCGGAGACGTTTTCGCTGGACAGCGAGGACGACATGAGCGTCATGGAGATCCACAGCACCAGCTCCCTCACTTCCAGAAAGAGTTTCGATGGCTGAGCTCAGAGACGCCCGACGCACCTCGCGTCAAGCTCAAGCCCGGTCAGAGGAAGAGAATGCAGAGCATGGCTCGCGATGCTTTGGCTACATCGAAGCTCCACAAGAAGATCATCCAGGAGCGCTTCACGCGAGGCAGGTGGCCCCGCAAGCACTTCCGCTTCGACCTCATCGAGATCTTCGGCGACTCCAGCATGATCACCATCCGCGGTGTGACCTTGTGGAGGATGAAGGCATTGCAGCCTGTAGACATCCGCTACGGCATTGACCTCCGGCAGCGCAAGATGAGGCGCTGGCTTTTGGACTTGCTCAAACGCGCCAACCCACGCTTGGCCCTGGTCGAGTATCCATGTACTCCATGGTCGATCTTGCAGTCCAACGTCAACTATAAGGACGACCCTGAGGCCCTCGAGGCTTTGCAGAACCAGGACAAGCCGTTCCTGAAGCTCACGGAGAACGTCTTCGAGTCCCAGGTCTCCAGAGGAGCGCATGCTGTAGCAGAGAACCCAGCGACTGCATCTTCGTGGCAACAACCGGAGATCGTACGCCTTCGCAAGAAGTTCTTTGAGACCACCTCATGCTTATGCATGTACGGCCTGACCGGCAAGCGAGGTGGCCTGATGCAGAAGAGGGTGCGCTTTTTGGCCACACACCCCTACTTCGTGGAAGAGCTTCAGGCAGAGTGCGACCATAGCCACGCTCATGAAGAAGTTGCTGGATCCAACACCAAGCTGTCACAATGCTACCCACCAGCTCTAGCAGACGCCATTTGTCGCGCCTACTGGCGGGTGGTCGAGCTTGAGGATTTCGGGACGCTCACCTGCAACGATGCCGAGAACTCCACTGGCATCTGGTTTGTGGACGCCAACAAAGAGGAAGACAAGTGGCGCCCACTCCTTGCAGAAGCTGAAGAAGTCTTGGCCAGAAAAGTTCAAGGCAGTGTCTTCGTGGCGCCCGACTCCGAGCTCTACAAGAAGATTTGTGACTTGGTACCCTGGCAGGTGATGAACATCCAGCTGGCACACCTGCCCAAAGCAAAACGTGTGCGACCTGGCCTTGAAGACTGCCATAGATGCTCAGTCCTCCTGTTGAACGATGATACCCTCACCATCGAGACTGAGTACCTGAAGACAGCCCAGGCGCCACGGGAGAGATTTGTCACCCCGGTGCGGGTGGCGATTTTCGTGCTGGGATATGCACCTGGCGATCCCGCAGAGCCTCGGCCAGAACCGGAACCTCCGAAGCAGTTCGTGGCCATAGAGGACTCCAAAGACCACTACATCGTGCCGTATGACGACCAGGCATTGGTGGAGATCCCTGAGAAGACGCTGCTGAAGCAGTCCTATGGGGAGCATTGGTTCGTTGGGCCACCACTCAATGTCAAACAGAAGAAGCTGGCACCGACCGTGGTCAAATTGCATAAGAACTTGGGCCATCCTTCTCAGCCTGACCTCGCCCGGGCTTTGATACAAGCTGGAAACGTTGAGCCCGAGGCCATTGAGCTGAGCAGGCGAATGAAGTGTGCAGTGTGCGAACGCACTCGGAGACCACGTATTCCGAGGCCCACTTCCTTCAAAGTGGTTGGAGCCTTCAACTCCAAGCTCTGCATGGACTTTGTGAACGTGCCGGACGTTGCAGGCGAGATGTTTCAGTTCCTGCGCATCCTCGAACCCAACGGCTCGTTCAACGTGTTCTACCCGAGCCCCAGCAGGGATCCTGGCGACGTTTGGGATCTGTTCACTATGTTGTGGGCATCCTGGGCAGGCTACCCTCAGGTGCTATGGGTGGACAAAGATGGCGCCTTCGAAGGTGATTTCCTGGAGCGCATTCGGTCCATGGGAACTACGGTTGACACACCTCCAGCGGAAGCACACTGGCAAGCTGGCGAAATCGAGGCCTATAACCGCGCCTTCAAGGACACTGCGCGGAAGATCATAGATCAATATTCACTTCAAGGAGCCCGAGACATGAAGACAATGGCATGTGCCGTCGCAGCCGCGATGAATGACAAGATCCGAACCAGTGGCTGCTCGGCCTACCAATGGCTGTTTGGCAAGAGCCCTGTCATACCGACTGACGTCCTCTCACCGGACGGCAAGTTTGAAGCTTTGCAAGCTATGGACGTTGACAGTGAGCTCCGGAAGAGAAGTCAAATCCGAGCAACAGCCGATGAGAAGGTGACGGCCTACCGATTGAATGAAGCGGTTCGCACCGCCATCTTGAGGAAATCTCATCCTCCTCGAGAGACCTATGAACCAGGCGAACTGGTGGCATTTTGGCGGGAAGCCAAATACAAGCAAGGCCGAAAAGGCCAGAAGGGAAAGCGGATACCTGCTTCATGGTATCGTGGGATCATCATCGGCCCACACAAAGGCGATGGTTCAGCCAAGCAGAACAACTTCTGGGTCAGCTCCAACGGAAAGTGTGTCTTGGTCTCCAAGGAGCAGCTTCGACCCGCCTTCGGGACAGAGCTTTGGCCCGTTCATGAACATGTGTTGGAGGAGCTGCAGGAGAACCCTCCGGACGACTACCTGGACCTCCGAGCTGCAGACGGAGCACTACCGCCTGAGGAGGAGGAAGTTGATCAGGTCCCCCTCTTCCTGGACCAGCCTGACGAGGAGTACACGCCTACCGTCGTGGACCCTGCAGACATCCCTGTTCCAGAAGACATGGAAGATGAACCTGTTGCCGAACTACCTCCACCAGCTCCATCCGAGGCCGTGGACTCGACAGGCACGGACTTGACTACGTTGCCGGCTGCCTCACGAGCCCCTGGCACTCCGGTGGGACAGCTCTGGTCCAAGGAACCGGACCCAAAGAGGTTGAGGACGACACCATCGGCATCCGCCCCTTCAGAAGCAGCCGTGATGCCATCAGCCGAGGAGATGGAGATTCTGCTCACCACATCTCGTGCAGAAGGTGAGAACTCTACAGTCTATGAGGTGCTGTCAGAGGTCGCGAAGGACTCCTGGTACTACGATAAGCCGCGAGGCCTACTTGTCCGACTTCACCGACGCCCTCGTCGAGCTCTATACGACCCTTGTCGAGCTCGAGATCTTCCCGTCCAGCTGGACAGTCTGTCACCAAAGAGGATCACGGTGATGCGCACTTCTGGACAGCGGAAGGTGAGACGAGACACTTGGCTGCCACCCAACTCCAACGTCCCGATGGACCACTACTGGACTGGCACTACGACCTTCAAGGTGGTGACGCAGTCCGGCATCTTCGAGGTGCAGTTGGACTGGCAGAACCCTCAAACCATGTCTCGCAAAGACCGTAAAACCTTAGAGAAGGAACTCCCTTGGAGCGCCATCCCTGATGAGCAGAAGGAGCTCTACAGACAGGCCTTGGTCAAAGAGTGGAACACCTGGCTCAAGTATGAGGCGGTCAAAGTCTTGGACACGGCTTGCAGCCGCTACGTGGAGAACAACATCGACAAGTCCCGCATCTTGGCTGCCCGAGTCTGCTACAGAGATAAGCACGCAGCAACCCCTTGGCTGGAGATCAAGCCAAAGGCTCGCATCGTATGTCGAGGAGATGCGGACCCTGACTTGTTGGAGCTTCGGCGTGATGCGCCCACTTTGACACGCCTGGGCCTGATGCTTTTGCTGCAGCTGGGAGCTTCATCTGACGGCTGGTTCGTGGTTTGCGCTGACATCACAGGCGCTTTCCTTCAAGGCGACCAGTCCCTGGCCCAGCGCAAGGACCCACTCTTCATCCGACAGCCCCGAGAAGGACTACCAGGTCTACTACCAGGCCAGCTGCTACTCGTGGTGCGCGGCATCTTCGGCCTCGCCAACAGCCCGAGACTCTTCTGGCGATTCCTCCGGGACACTTTGGTGAAGCTCGGCTTTGTTCAGTCGACTTTGGACAAGGCCCTCTTCTTCTTTTACGTCGACCACCTTTTGGTCCTGGCAGTTGGTGCACGCGTGGACGATTTGGTCTGCGTCGGCAAGCCGGGCATCGGCGACGAGATCTTGGAGAAGGTTCGCGAGAGCTTTGACTTCGGCGACTGGCATGACCTCCGCAACGAGGACAAGTTGGTCTATGGTGGAAAGGAGATCGCCCGGCTAAATGATGGTGGACTTGCACTTTCCCAGCGCTCCTTTGTCAAAGCCCTGTCGCTCTCTCCGATTCCCAAGTGGAGGAGCCTCATGAAGGACGATGCCCTGACGCAACCCGAGATCACTGAGCTCAAGTCGGGCATTGGCTGTTTGCATTGGCTTACTGGTCAGACCAGACCGGACCTTGCAGCAGGCGCTTCCTTGAACCAAGGCGGAAGCCGCCCCACAGTCACCCACCTGATCGAGGTGAACAAGCTGCTGAAGGAGGCCATGAAGTCGGAGAACTTCAAGCTGACCTTCGTGCCGATTAATTTGGCAACGGCACGCATCGTGGCCTTCAGCGACGCTTCATGGGCGAACGCTGAGGACTTGCGTTCGCAGGCCGGTTACATGGTCTACGTGACCGGACCTGAGGTCTTCTCGCCGGCCGGTGACAGAGCCAACCTGGTGGAATGGCGATCACATCGCATCCGCCGCCGGTGCCGCAGCACCCTCGCTGCGGAAACCATGGCTTTGGACACGGCCACTGATGCGGCCCTCTTCACCCGCGAGCTCCTGGCCGAGATGATGATTGAGGAGTACCAATGGCAACTGACTGCCGCTCGCTCTACGATTTGGTGGTGAAGGACGGCCCGCTGAGCAGCACGCAAGAAAAGCGGCTGACTTTGGACATTGGAGCTCTTCGTGAGGCCGCTGAGGAATTGGACCCTAGCGGCGAGTTCATGAAGGAGATCTACCGCTGGGTGCCGACTTTCGCCCAGATGGCTGATCATCTCACGAAGATCAAGCCCGCTCACGAGCTCCGCGACCTCTTGAACCAGAACCACCTGGCCCTCATGCGCGACGAGGACGCAGAGCAGAAGGCGGCTGGCGCGGCTGCTACCACGACAAGTCGCGGTGCGCTGCTGGCCATGAGCGTGGCGCTCGCAGTCTGCTCACGTCTAAAAAATATAGACCAGTGCAGATTCGCGATGCATTCATGTCCCACAGGTCCATAGGATCTTTTGAACGTTTGCACTGAGCCCGCATTACCGCAGGGCCCTTGAGTCGCTCGAAAAAGACCGCATGTGCAACTGCGGCACTATGGCCCCCCGGCCCGGGTTGTGAATCCCCGCTCTTGCAACTAGTAGTAAGGCCAGGAGGCCCTAGTAGCGTCCGGACGCTCCTAGTAGCGATGCCAGGAGCCCCTAGTAGCTTCTTGTTACTTCCCCTCCAAGACCCGTGCTGTTCCAATCAGATTGGAGTTCTGATGGCCAGAAGAAAATCCGGGCTGCTGTCGCAAGCTCATGTCCTGTTTGTTTTCGGCAGTGATCAACCTGTTTAAGTCACACTTTGTTTAAGACCGCTTTGCAAGTCACAGATATTTCGGCATTCTCAGGTTTTCCAATTTGACGCACATGTTCAGTATCATCGTGGGTGGTCGGCGCTACCTCCTCTTGATCCAGGTGCGTCGAAACTTCCAAACCTGTTTACTAGTAACAAGGTGCATCGCTACTAGTTTCTAGTAGCAAGAAGCTACAAGTAGTTCCTGGCATTACCACTAGTAGCAAGGAGCTACTGGTGTTTTGCGTCGAAACCTCTCGATTTCGCCATCGACACCGAGGCTGACGTTTCAGACATTGCGATTGACCTGTCGCAACCGATGCAGGTCGATCGACTGTGACCGTTCCATCGACAGGATTTCCAATGAACATTGCTGGATCTGAGGTCTTAGCTGTCCGGCAGGCCGTTGCTTTGTAGTCAAAGGAGTGGCAAGATCTTGTTTTGGTCCTCCTATTTGTATGACATTCAATTGCACGTTGCACAGCAGTATGCCCTGTTCGATGCTGCGTTGTGCATCAATTCAATTTGTTCTTGCCAGATTGCTGTTTCAATTCTTCGCTCTGACATAGATGCATGGGCGAAGCTGGCATGCGATTGCATTTTTGGATACCTTATCCTACTCTTTCTGTTGTTGATGACAGATGCCACCTTTAGGTGCTTGATTTGCCCAGGTGCTACAGCAGTATGCAAGCTTTTATCAAAGCCCAACGCGAGGAGCCTCAAAGCTGCATTGCAAAAATGGAGTGCCAAGCGACCTCTCATTGCACAATTTTGACCTCTCTAAATTTGCTGCAAAGTACATATGATCATATGATGCATTGGATAGATGTCTATCCTTTTCGGGGCCCTTCAGTTGTTTTGTTTTTCTTTTTGATCTGTGATCTTGGAGGTTTCTTGTTTTTCAGTGTTCTCAGGCCGCAACCTCAACTTCCCCAAATGCAGCAAGCATATGCCCAGGCTGACTCTGTTCGTTTTGAACAATGTGACTCTTTGCGTATTTGACTCTTGGTATCAACTTGTCAGGCCAGTAAGACATTCTAATGAAACTGTTGTTCTTTCCTGGCAGCTCAGGCTCAGACTGGCTCAGACTCATGATTTGAATCCATTGATCTCATAGGCGATCTCCCTGATTTGCCAGGAGATTAGAGGTGATGGGATCGCGTCAAAGATGCCTGTGCCATAGACTCCAAAGAGATCCGACTCAGCTGTGTTTTTTTTGGCTTCACTCAAGAGAGATCCGACTCAGGGAACTGGATCGGTCTCTTCTAACCCCTCAACAGCCTTGTCTCAAGGACACTTCTGCTGTTTAGCATATTTATCGAAGAGTATAGCACTCTGCGGTTTCAGCCGTTGTTGGGATGCATTATTTTGGTGTCGGCACCTACAAGCGGCCATGCGATTTGCATTTTTGGGGATGTCGATATTTCTTTGTGTATGTGGCTTCGTGCTATAAATATGATCTTGGTTTGTGTAGAAGCTCCCGAAGTAGTGACGTTTGTTGTGATTGCGAGCGACCTGTCTTTGCTTTGCGGAAACTTTAATTTAGGAACTTTAAACACATTGTTTGCGAACTTGCTTCGGCCTGGAGTGGGGGTGGGGGGCCAAAGTGGACGCAATTTCAGTTTGCCAAGATTGTCCCAAATCTTCGGGAGTATGAATGGCGGGGACCCAGCAGCTTGATTCACCATGGATTTGTTTCATGATCTCATTCAGGCTCAGTTTGCCATCTGCCCACCCCTTGTGCATTTCCACGGGAATGCCCTTCCAGCCAAACCCCGATCAACACCTTTCAGCAACCAATACAGCACTTCTTTTTAACCATCCAAAAACAGGCGTGACATGCAAAATTAGCCCAAACGAGCTTTTTGACACATTCACCAATGGCAGGTTGCAAGAATCATTGAACACACGGGGGTGCTGATGACATGTTTTTTGCAGGAACTTGCTCCTGATCCGGCGGAAATTCCGCAAATTCCGCTGGTTGCATCGCCTGGGAGGACGGGGCGATGGGAAGTCCAGAGGCACTTCAGCGACACAGTCAGGCAGAATCCGTGATGTCTGACCCGCGCAGGAATTCCTTGCGATGGGCTGATTGGCAAGAACAGGTTCCGATGCCGGCCCAAGAGCTCAGAACATGTAGGACTAGGGAAATACAGGGTGTGCTCAAGAGTGCTTCAAGCTGTGTGTCAAGCAACTTGCTCCGAGTCTTTTGCACTTGTTGAGTTGTTAAGTCCGTTAAGCCAGATTGAGGAATTCTACGACACACCCACCAGCCTCGGTCAGCAAGACACGGATTTGATCATCCCAGGCGGACTTGCACAGACTCAATACCATTTCATGCACCGACTTGACACGGACTTCGATGGATCCTTCATGAACATTGGGCTGAATGACTCTTACCCCATCGGGTGGACCGGCAGAATATCCCGAAGCTCTGCCAGTGGGACGTCAGAGCGGAGCTTGGTGCAATCGTTCTTCAGTGATCGATTTTCAGCCATCAGTTCTTCCTGTCGTAGCAAAGAACGCTGCTAGAAACAAAGGGCATCGCTACGAGCAAGGACGCTACTAGCTCCTGGAATTACTAGTAGCAAAGAACGCTACTAGGGGCTCCTGGCCGTACTACTAGGAGCAAGGTTCGCTACT